AGCCCAGTTTGAAAAAGACAGATGCACCCCTATGTTTATTTCAGCACTATTTACAATAGCCAAGAAATGGAAGCAACCTAAGTGTCCATCAGTAGATGAATGGATAAAGAAGATGTGGCACATATACACAATGGAATATTATTCAGCCATAAGAAGATAACAAATCCACCATTTGCAACGACATAGATGGAGCTAGAGAGTATTATGCTCAGTGAAATAAGCCAGGCGGAGAGAGACAAGTACCAAATGATTTTACTCATATGTGGAGTATAAGAACAAAGAAAAACAGCAGCAGAATCACAGAACCCAAGAATGGACTAACAGTTACCAAAGGGAAAGGGACTGGGGAGGATGGGAGGGAAGGGAGGGATAAGGGCGGGGGGAAAAGAAAGGGGGTATTACGATTAGCATGTATAATGTGTAGGGGGGCATGGGGAAGGCTGTGCAACACAGAGAAGACAAGTAAGGATTCTACTATACTGATGGACAGTGACTGTAATGGAGTTTGGGGGGGGACTTCATGAAGGGGTGACCCTAGTTAACATAATGTTCTTCATGTAATTGTAGATTAATGATAACAAAATAAAAAATAAAAATAAAAAAATAAAAAACAATTAAATAAATGACTGAACTTTAGAGATAATCTCACTTGATACCTTTCCATTGAAATTGATACCTAGGAGAGGTTTTGTCATTTACTGGCAGAAGAACATGTCTTTCATAATCTTATGAAGAAGCCACAGAACAGGATCTGGCAAGATGACTATTACTCACAAATTTGTTATTCCTCTATCATTCTAGTCTTCTTTTCCCCCCTAACCAATGCAATAAAAAGTATCATAATAAAAGTTTGGGGTTTATTGATAGGCAAGTTATTAACTGCACACCTTATATTTGCTTAAGAAAAAAATGAGGGGAGTAAAGGTAGAATATAAGTACCAATATTAGCTTGAAAAAAGAGTAAAACCTATTCTAAAAGCTCATCAAAAACCTTTACTGATGTATACTATTTGGAAAAGGTAAGGTATACCTGAAATTCTCTCTTAAGTAGTTTACATCCGAATTTGCAAGATACCACACACATAAATAATTCAGGACAAAAAGAGAGGTGTCATAAGGCAGTACTACAATAATTGCCTATATACACAATTAAAAAAAAGTTACTCTGGGTTAGTCCTTAAGAAAAGGTAAGGTTTGAGCTAAGACTTGAATGACAAGTAAGAATTTAAAGGTAGGTAGGGAAGGCATCACGTTAAATCTATAAAGAGTGTCCAAGAGGAGAGTGCTAGGCTAGGTCAGGGCTGGAATAGAGTGTGGGGAGCACGAGCTCTTTAGATTTCTTGTGCAGAGACGTTTTCTTTTGGTATGACATTTGAGCCGAGACTTGGATGATACAGAAGAATGAAGAAAGTGATCATGTGGGAAGAGAATATTCTAGGAAGAGAGGACAAGTACAAATAACCATTACATTTCCCTGCCTGTATATTAGGTTCTATAGATTGAATACACAGAGCTTTGTTCAATGGATGGTAAAAGAAAGGACTATGAATTTCTAAACCTTAGTTTAAATAATTCCACAAATTCTTTCTGATCTCAGTTCTCCACCAGTAACAATAATTACTGCACAGAAGAAAATGTGAGATAATGTAAGCATAAGTGTTTTAGAAACAGAAAATATATTGAAATTATAAAAATCAGTTCAACTAGACAACAGTGGAAAAGTTATGATGCTTAGATACATAAAAAGTAGAGAACTGAGTCATGACCATTGCTGATACGGGCGTTAGTAAGTACATTACATTTTTACATATCTTTTCATTTTCCTTACTGTAGCTTTTTGTATGTGCTTTATCTGCCTTGCCAGATTGTGAGCTCTCTGCAAATGGCAAGCAGATCTTAAATACAGCACCTGATAGAGGCTTTCAGTAGTAAGTTGATATACCAAGCCAGTAATTCATTTTATAGCCCTTTGAGGATCTGTGTACCTGTGTGTTCAAAATCTCATCTACCTGCAAAGGATTAATAGTGATTCATGATATTACAAAATGCTAATGCAAACAAACATAGATACCAAAAGAATAAAACTCATCTTAAAGAAGATGGAAATGATCCTCAGGTAACTGTTAATTACTACTGCCGGCCTTGGTGGACGTTCCCTGGCATCCAAAGATGGGGATTGGCTAAAATATCCACAGTATGGCATTTAATCTACCACCAAGTTTGGCGTTTATATTTATCTGCAGAGAACAACTTTTCGCTGTATCAAAACCCGCAAGGGACTGTGATCATGAGGTGTATCATGTCAGAGTCACCTACAGTCTACACGCAACAGCTGTGGGAACAAGTACATGAATATCGCTTCATAAAGTCTTAATAACTGAGCAAAGGCACAGGGTAACTTTGAAAAGCTGCTTAAGTTATTTAACTTGGTTATCCTGCATTTGAGCAAGAACCTCTGCTATGGTGGAACCACTGGTACATCAACAGTCTTTTCTCCCTAGGGCCCTGGCCCAGGCTTCGCAGTCGCAAAAGAGCACCGGGGTCACTGGACGGCCGCAATGAAGGCTCAGCAGCTCGCGGGCAGCCTTGGATTTCGGCAGCGCCGGAGCCCCGCACTGGGGGCAGTCTTAGTCCGGCCTTCGAAGGCGGGTTCAGGGTGGGCGGCTGTTAGCGGCAGGGAGCGTCCTGGGCTAGGCGGGGGCTTCGGCCGAACGGTGGGAAGGAAGGCAACTCAGGCCTCCTCGAGGCAAAACTCCAGGGGCCACCCTGCAGTCCCCCTAACCCCACGCCGCGGAAACCTCTCCCGCCCCCAAACACGAAGGAGAGGCAGAGACTGCGGAAGCCACGGGAATCCTGTCCTCTGTGGGTCGTAGGGGACCAAACTCAGGGCCCAGGAACAAGGCACCAACGTCCCACCCCTCCCTCAGACCCCAGAGCTCACCCACCTGCAATTGCAGTCTCCGAAGTCTCCACCCTAGTCTCGCTGCCTCCAGAGGACTGACTGCGATTGGCTTGCACCGCTGTCCCGCTAGCTCTCCTCCAAGTGTGAGTGGCGCGACTACCCAGCTCAAGGCCTCGGGTCCCTCCCCCGAAGCGTCGCTCCGCGTGACGTCACAGGCTGCCGCAGAACGCAGAGGCGGGCCTCCGTCTCCGCCCCGCCGCTTCCTCCCGGTGTGCGCGGCCGGGAGGGGGAGGGGAGGGCGGGCTCCGGGTGAGCCGGGCGTTCGTGGCGTGCGCGACGCCCCGCCCCCCGCGCAGGCGCCTGGAAGGAGGGGGTGGGGCACGCTAGCGTCCGCGCCATCAGACCCGAGGTGGCCGCGAGGCTCTTTCCTGGTGTATGGTTTTACCTGCCAAGCGGTTCTGCTCGGTGCCGTCAATGGAGGGCGTGCGTTGGGCCTTTTCCTGCGGCACCTGGCTGCCGAGCCGAGCAGAGTGGCTGCTGGCGGTGCGGTCGATCCAGCCCGAAGAGAAGGAGCGCATTGGCCAGTTCGTCTTTGCCCGGGACGCTAAGGCAGCCATGGTACTGCAGGTCTTTGGTAGAGTCCGGGAGCCGAGGATGAGGCGGGGGGCTGGGCTGCGGGGAGTCTCCTTGCCGCTCTGTCTCCGAGCCCCGCGTTGCTGTGCCCTCGCGGCCGGCCGGGGCGAGTGGTGGGCGTGCTGGGGCCCCGGCGCGCACGGCCTGCGCTCAGCGGTCTTTGTAGTCGCCTCGGCAGCAGCCTCGATAGCTATACAAATTAGTTAACCCCCGCACCCCGTTGTAATTGAAAATAGAGACCCTGCTAAACCGTAAAATAGGTGTATGAAGTAGTTGTATTTTTTGCCCGTAGTGGATGTTTTTATGTTTTAATCAAATTTGATTTTTTCTTTGCGTGGGCTCATACATTGCACATGCCTAGTCGGCCTATTAAATATCCCATCCCTAAAGGCGTCCTGCACAATGTAGTGGGCAGTAGGCCCTAGAAAATATTGACTCTGTGATTAGTTTAGCGTTGCACACGCCGAAGCTGTGGTAGGAGCGTAGACCAGCCTCTTAGCAGTGAAACAGGCTCAGGGAGGATGCAGTCCCAGGCATACGACTAGATACCTTGGAAAACAGTATTTTAAATAGAATTATTTACTTTAGTTAGGTATTTTTAGGCAACACACCGAAAGTTGGATCTCAGTATTACCTCTGCGAATAGTGCAGTTTGAAACAACCTCTATCATTACTTCAAAGAGTCATTTCTTGACTATGTCCCTACATTGAAAATCCTTTTCGTTTGGAATGTGAAGTAAATGAGTTGTTGGGAAGGATATTGGTGAATATATTTTACACTTGTTTATAATGTGTAAGTAACTGAAATTCAAAGTCTTGCAGTTTTTAAAAATCAGTGTTAGAACTGAAGGAGAAAAAACTTGAAAGATATTTTTACAAAATATACTTCGCCCCCTTATACTTTTGGGTATTTTTGTGTGGTTTTAGTGTTATTTCTTTTTTAATAATGGAAGTACGAGAGTGTGGATGGTGGTATAAGTGAAACAAGGTAGGCCGTACATTGCTAATTGTTGAAGCCAAGTGATGAGTATGTAAAGTCTAGAAATACTGGCATGTATGCACAAATATATAGGTACAGCAGGTTATTCACTGGGGGAATTTTTTTATTGCAGCTAAACTAGAGTCAGCCTAAAGGGTCTAATAACAGAGGAGTAGTCAATCAAATTGTGGTTCCTTGACATCATGAAATACTATGCTGCAGTTAAAAGTGTACAGATCAGAACTACATGTACGGACATGAAATAATCCCTGACACAAGTTAAAAAGCTTACGCGTGGTAGAATGTAGAAATTGTAGGATTTCAAGTACGTAGATAGATAGCAAAAGCATAAGCAAATGAACACGAAATATTTAAGTACTTAGAGAAAAGACTAGAAGGATGTCTACTTGTTAACACTGACTACTTGTTGAGGGAGTTGCTAAAGAGGGACTTTAACTGTTTTTTCTGTATTAAGAATTGCTTAAATCATAATGTATTTAATACTTAGGTACTTTTAAAAACCTTTGAAAATTAGTATTTTAGAAACCACAAAAATGAACTTTGTATATTAAAGGCAATGTACCTAAGTCTTTAGTAGACATAAGTACCACATGTTTTATTTACTTAACAGGCTGGTCGTCTGATGATAAGGAAGTTAGTTGCAGAGAAATTGAATATCCCTTGGAATAATATTCGTTTGCAAAGAACTGCAAAGGGAAAACCAGTTCTTGCAAAAGACTCACTGAATCCTTACCCCAATTTCAACTTTAACATCTCTCATCAAGGGGACTATGCTGTACTTGCTGCTGAACCCGAGCTACAAGTTGGAATTGACATAATGAAGACTAGTTTTCCAGGTAATGTTGCATTTTTGTAGTATCTTCCAAGAGTTAACTCTCTTTTTTGTCTCAGTTCTTATCTATTGAGTAATCTCAGTAAACTTAAATATCTGTAATATCCTATGTGTAATATATGTATTATATTTAGGTTTAGGAAAAGTGTGTTTATTACTCAAAGGTAGTGTATATGAGAGAGCATATATCAGAAAAGGGCGTATGTCCTTGAATAGTAGCAGACTTCTGCATAAAGGATAGAGTCCCCATTACTGGGGATTCATACAGTGCTTTCCATAGAGGCAAGTAAAAATACAGAGATTCTCTCTTTAAATTACACCTCAACGAGTTAAGTAAAACTAAGAAAGTATTTTCAAAGATTGTAAGGACAGTTTTCCAAAAGCTTAGTTTATCTTTAATAGATGTTAATCTAGTTGAACTCAGTGAAGAGAAGGAAGAGTCAATTTTGAGTAGCATTCTACTCAAAAAACATAGTAATTAAATTATGAGAACTTTTTTTTATTTAAGTACTTCCTGAAATTCATCGGTAAGCTGTTGGTTTGTTTAAAAAAAAAAGTAGTCTCATTGGTAAAGTATACTTTAATCCTTAGGTAGTATTTTTGCTACATCTAAGTATAGTTCATTTATGTAAGTGCAAATGAAGAATAAGCAATTATTAAAATACAGTTGACCCTTGAACAATGTGGGGACTGTGGTGCCAAAGGCATGCACAGTTGAAAATTTGCGTATAACTTGACTTCCCAAAAACTTAACTACTAATACCCTACTGTTGCCCAGAAGCCTCACTGATAACATAGACAGATGATTAACACATATTTTGTATGTTTTATTTATTATATATGGTACTCTTAAATTTATAGTAGGCTAAAGAAAATGTTTTTTCAAATTGTCACAAATCACTGAAAAAAAGTCTGCATTTAAATGGACCTGTGAAATTCAAACCCAAATTGTTCAAGAGTCAGCTGCATTTAAGTTGCTAATGTTTTGCCTTAGAAATCTGTCACTGGCGGCTGGAGGAGCTGTTAACATGTATTGCAGGGTTGACTATACCCAGGCAATTTTATTAGAACATAGGTTCTCTTAAGTATATCATTTTCATCATCACTAACATTTAGTTAGCACTTGGTATGTACCAAGGTATTTTATTCAGTGCTTTATATATATCTTCTGATACAATTTTCTCAACCACCCTACAATGAATAGACTATTCTTTTCTTCAGAAGATAAGTAGCAGGTTCAGAAGAAAGTTGTTAATAAGAGAACTGACATCTTCCAAATTTATAGTGGAATTTCCTAATCTGTACTCTGCCTCCACCATAGGACCTTGCTATGTCTGTTGGTCTGGATGATTTTTATTAACTTTATCCACACACCCATTTCTGCAGAGATAACTACCTTCCTAGTGAGATTAAACCTCAGTCTTTTAAGGAAGCTTGTGAACCTTCACTCTAAGCTAGGTTCTTTTATTACACTTTCTTCATTCCAATAATATATCTCAGTTTGTAATTATTTATCAGAATAGTTAATTGTCTTTCCTGTGGTCCTGATAAGCTGTATGAGAGCAGGAGCTATGTAGCTACATCTGAGTTGAGTTGCTGTCGTATGGCTTGGCACCCTACCTAGTTCATCATAATGCCCAGCAAATATTTGTCAAATGAATAAACCACTTTCTTGCTGTAGTACGGCTTCAGAGTATGTCTCACTGTCTCTCATCTCTCACTTTCTCTTTCAGAGTCTTTACCTTGCATTTTCCCACCACTTTTTTTTCTGACCTGCTTATAAACCTTTCTATTACAACCCTTTTCTTAACTGTTTAGAAGGAAGCGCTACTATTAATGGCAGGGGTTCTTGAAGTCCCTGAATAAACATCAAGGCATTTTTTAAATTGTTTACTACATTTTGTGTGAATGTGCACATCTGCATTTTTCTCAAGAGAATCTAGTTTTCAGTGGGATCGCAGAAGATTTAAACGGAAAGAACCACTGCTATAAAAGATTCTGAATGAGCATGGGAACAATCCCATATGCTTTCAATACTTCCTGCTGTCCTTATGCGGACTTTTGCTGAAGTCAAATTATTGGAGAGGCGTTGCTCCTTAGAGTGCAGGCAGCACAACTGCGCAGTGATGGTTGGCCCATAAGGTTGAATCTGCTTGGGGTTATGCCTGTTAGACACAGATTTATTACCAGTTGGTTTGAGGGACCCTGCTGGTCAATCCTGGATAAACAAGTAGTTACTAATTGAAACATAGTAAATGATAAGAAGGAATTGAGAAAAATTGAAGATTTAGTTTCCTGTTATATTTTATTAGACTTTTTCCCCCACATATTTGATTGATCTTATTTGACTGATCACGATATCTATGACTTTTCCTTTTGTTTGACTGTTTCATTGCCAAAAAGCCATTGATAAAGCCAGTCACACATGTGGCAAGAGGTCTTTTCAGTTGTCACTAGTATTGCTATTGTGTCAGTAATTTCTGAAGTGCAGTTGGACACAGCATCAGTTATCAGTGAGAGTGGGAAGTGGACACTGGCTGACATCACTGGAGAGTCATTTGAATAGCTCTGCTTATCAGAATAAGTTAGGAAATTGATCAAGGGAAGCCCCAAAGAGTTGCTAAATGATGGAAGGTAAAACTCAGGACAGCAGCAAAGGAAGTATTGTACTTTGTAAGACATTGTTATTAGATTGTCAACTCTCAACATGAGTCAGCCTTTGGGGGCATTATTAGTATATTGAAAGACTTAGTTCTGTTACCCCCATTTTGTCTTCAGGTAAGCATCATGTAGGAAGTTGTGGGATGTTTCCTTCTTGCCACCTTAGCCACTTTCTAGTATGTACAGATCATTTATTTCCCTCTTCCAGTTCTCCCATTGCTGTGTGGCAGGACATGAGGAAATAATTGATAGATCTAGGGAGGTTTGGGTTTATTCCTGCTAGCCAGATGCCCACAGTTAAGGAGATTATTGTAACCACTTCTTTATTCTCTGCTTAACAGAGAGAGAAACATTATACAAAGTAACTGGTTCATGCTTGGCCCTCAGTAAATATTTGTTTAATGAATGACCAGAGAAGAGGGTCGTGATGCTAGGGACCCTTGTATAGGTAAACTATCAGTTCTGTACATTCCTAACCTTGGGGGAAAGGGTTTTGTAGGTTGTCAATATAATTTGCTATATCCAAATGGGAAATTCTGGTTGATTTTTCCTTCGTTTTCTATTTTTATCTACTGTGAAAACCTTTATAGTTTAAAATATAAAAGGGTAGTTTTTTGAATTGTTCAGTGTGTTCCATATTTAGAAAATAAAGTAGGATCAGAAACAGTATATAAATTATTATATAAATTTGGGAAAAGACCAAAATAATTTTTTCCTAGGGCTTTATATTTTCAGGTTTATATTTTAATTATAAACTTCCCTGGATATTAATTGGCAGGACAAAATAACTCAATATTTTGAAATTTAAATACTAATTTAATAGCTTTGAAATGACAGTGACATAAAACTGCTCTTGGGAAACAGCTGTTCCATGAATTAAATACAGTAAGTTTAAAATAAGTGGTGGTATATGACAACTAAGAACGTGGTAGAGCCTATTTCTTGTCTCCTTACCATACCATTTCTTGCACTATTTTAGTAGCCTCCTAATTGGTTCCTTCTTTTCTCTTTTATCCTCACTCAGTTAGTACACTCTCTGTGCAAAGCAGAGTGGTCTTTAAAAATACCTAGAGGAGTTTCCTTACAACTCTTAGACTGGTTCTTAATTAAGCCCAATCCCCTTAACATGACCCATCTTGTTTCATCTACCTCACCATTTGCATTTCTAGCTGCTCTCTTAGCCAACTGTTTTCTGTCCATACTCATCTTTTATTACTTTGACTGTAGCAGACTTTCCTGTTGAAGGTCATTGCAAAAAACTGATCCCTTGGCCTGTTCTCCCCACTCTTGAGACCTGAAGAGTGAGAAGAAGTCAGTACCACCTCAGAGAAGACTTCCCTGCTCTTTTCCTTGGGGGCCTTTCTCATTTGTATTTATAACTTAGTTAATTGATTATTCTCCCTCGTTAGTTAATTGCAAGAACCAGGCTTGGTTTTGCTACAGCATACCTACTACTTAAAAGTATTCAGCACATAGCAGATGCTCAATAAGTATTTATTTAATGTACAAACTAGTTCTCATTTTGCTTGAAATATTCCTTAAATTTGTTGAAGAACGAAAAATGGGTACACAACCACAGTGAAAAAATGGTATATCAGATTCACGTTCCGGTATAACAACTATTCTCATCAGTGAATTATGATTAAAAGTAGTTCTTCCTTTGAGTCTTCTTCCTTACTGTCTGTCCTTATACCTTGACAACCTCCATTTCCATCCCCCTAAGATTTCAGTTTCAACTTTGTTGCTGCTAATAGTCTGTTCCACTATCATGTCTATCTAGACTGATTTATAATCTTCTGAATCTGCATTTTGCAGAATGTGCTTAAAGCATTTTTGTTTTTTTTAAGCTTAGATTTAGAGCCCACAAGTAGCTTAAATAAGTCACACTTACCTTTGTACTCTGAATTTCTTGCTGTTAAACCAGTTTTACTGACTTGGAGTTTTCCCCCTTCCCAGTTATGGATGGGTTTTTTCTCACTGTGCAAAGGATTGGACTGGGGTCATAACGCAGTACTATGTGTACAACACTGTGTTAAAACCTTCTGTGCATCATGTGTTTCATTTTCTTCAGCCTGAGATGTAAGTACTGTTGTTACTGTTTCACAGACTGGATGAAGACATTGGCCCAAGGTGACTTTGCTAAAAAGTAGATCATGGATTTGAATGCACACTATAAAGCTCATTTATTAGGTACCGTATGATATAGAGCTTCTCAATACTAGATTTTATTGATATCTGTTTAAGAATTTGCACATATAAAATCTGTTAAAAATTCTGTGGAACTGAATTAAGTGAATTTAAAGATTTTATGGAGGAACTGAGGTCTAAGAAGAATAGAAAAAT